CGTAGGTATGACCGTATGACATAAGTAAGAAGTTTCGGGAGCACAACAAATACATACCCAGCAAACATGACATTAAGTAAGATGGTAGCTCCGATTGCAAGGCCAGCAAGTTCTCCAATCTGTAACCCGAATTAAATTTGTAAAATTGGAATACATGCGTATAGTTTCAAGGATTATTATTACAAAAAATAGATAAATGTTCAACTTTATGTCCCGAATCGAGTACTGCACAAAATATTACGGAGTACCTCCGTTCCAAAATAATTATCTGATATTTAAAATTTTGACTAATTATATATTTTATTGAAAATTATTTTTAGTATAACAATGATATCAAAATATTCATTGTCAAAAGTACATAAAATTTATAATTTCCATAATATTATATTACCCACTAATCAAAATTAAAGTCCAAATTTAAGGAGTTGGCTTAGTGAGAAGTTGTGTTAGAGACTTGTCATTGTTGTATAATAATTAATAATGATATGGAATGAATATTATATTATTGCTAAAGAGATAATCTGGATGATTATCATGAGTGACGCATTCTCTTGGTTCCCATAATACGTCCAGATGCATGCATGTGTTATTAGGCTGGTATATATTAATTGTAATCCGCCAATTCAATTGGCTAGCTAGATAAATTAAAGGAGTGTGGATGTATAGAGTAACTAACGTACAGCTCGATTATCGGTGGCGACGCCGGAAATGACGAACATGAGATAGAATGTGATGATGAACTCAATGACTAGGGATTGCAGATCGGACCCCGTCGGAAGTGTGCCGGCGAAATGGTCATGTTTTCCGTTGAATAACAACCGCAGGGTTCCACTTGCTAAAGTTGCTCCAATCATCTGTGCTGATATATACGCAGGCACCTGTATGTACGTGCAAGTTAAATAAATTAGGTAAGGATAAGATCGATCCATGAGATTTATTGTAATTGTATAATTTTAGCTAGATGAATAGATCAATTTAAAATACTAGCCATTTAATGTCCAACATTATATAAATGAGATATATGAATGTTTTTTACTTGGATTGAATTTTTCTAATGTAGTTAAATCTGATTTGGTCTGGTCTGATAAATGACTGATCTCAGTGTATTTTATAACTATTCAATTCTGGTATAATTTGGTCTGATATGGATTGGTCTGATCTAGTTTGGTTTGAGACTGAAAACGATCTAAATAAAAACATGCTAGTCGATCTCAAGCCCGCAAATTAACAAGTGATGAGCAAGTGGTAGGTGCTAGCATGCAGCCTCAAAATATAATAACTACGACACTAAATGCGCGCGGGCGCAGTTGCTGCTTGCCATAAATTATGCCCAATAATGTCGGCTCCATCACCTCACATTTAATCATTTTACGGGTGGGATTGCCAAAGTTAGAAATCAGAATAAATATCCATTCATTCGATGATGAGGTTAATTAATTGGGTGAGAGGTAAATAATGTATGTTATATTAACACACATGTTAATTACCAAAATTTAATTAATGTTTATTGTGCGATGCGGAAGAAGGTAATTAAAAAGGGTGTAATAGGTAGATGATGATGAGGAGAAGAGATTGATGGACCTGTTGGAAGGGGAACCTGTTGCAGGATGCAAAAGCAATGGTAACGGCAGGGTTCAAATGTGCGCCGGAGATGTGCCCGACGGAGTAGACCATGACCACCACCGCCAGGCCCCACACTATGGCCACCCCCGGGAACGTCACGCTGCCCTTCTCGGCGTTGACCACCGCCGAGCCGCACCCCGCGAACATCAAGAAGTATGTCCCCAATATCTCTGCAATCAACTACACACTCACACAGCTAGTTCATTATATACGTACGTACTAATTTTGATACATACAAATTACAATACGTAGCTAGTAATAATTTAATAATGAAATTCGAAATGGATGGGAGATTCACTACGTACGTACCTTTTGGAAAAAAGGGAGGGTTAAACCGAAGCCGCCGCATCCAGCATCAGAAGAAGACATATCGGGATTTGACCTTTCGCCATCCCGTATGTCCACAGCAACCACTTGGTTTCCTGCCATCTTATATCTAGCTAACAGGCCAGGCCGGAGTGGGATTCAATATATGAATGAAGTTATACCTACCTGCTGCATCTAAACCGGACGAGGAAGCCTCTATTTATATATCTCATGCCCGGCCCTCTCTCTTTGCAGCCAGGACCCACATCCTTTTCTGGCCCTTTCTTTTGACCATCCATACAGCTTTAATTTATTACTTGCGACTTACTAGTATTTAGGTATATATGCATTGACTCAAAAGTCTTACTACCACACTCCTTCCCTCCAATTTTGGTTGTTTCATCCTTCGTCAAATTCCCTACTTTAAGTGGTTCTACAATAATAATCCCTATTAAGAATATTGATGAAAATACTCCGAACTGATAAATTAAACCAGTTCACATAAATAGATAAAGCAAACCGGGTTACCATTTTTTGTGTGATACAAATCACATACCTATCACCACCTTCCTCTCTATTCACATTACGATCTTATCCCTCCAGCTAGTTTCTCCACCTTTTCATTAAAAGACTTTGACTGTAAATACCGATTTATAATAATTCATTTCGAGCTTCATAATCAATAAAGGTGTTTAGTTACTGTTTTGTGGTTGCTCACTGATATGCACTAATTAGTAGTGCATAAGTTTATGTTTTTATGATTGATCTGTGTGGATTGTTTATCATTTTATTTAGTTTGTAAACATTTGTGTGATTTTAGTTGTATTTGTATTTTAATTCTCATTTGTAAGTTGTAAAGTAGAGTTAGGATTTATGGTGTTGGAAAGAAAGACTTTGAAGTGAGGAAAAAGAAGATTGGACGTTCCAAGAGCTGAAACCCGACCGGGTATCAAACTCCACCCGGTCGGGTACGTTTTAACAGGCGAAGGTAGCTGGAAATTACACAGACCCGGTCGGGTCCCTTACTTGACCCGGTCGGGTCAGACTTGACCCGGGACACCAGAACGTGCCGAAGATCGCCAGAACATGGAAAATATTTGATTTTGACCAAACCCGGTCGGGTCAACTAGGGGACCCGGTCGGGTCAGACACGACCCGGGACCAAACTACGTGCAGAAACATGAGAACATGGCGAAATATTTGATTTTGACGTTGACCCGGTCGGGTATGTCCATTTACCCGGGCGGGTCAATGCCCCAGGGTGTTGAAAACACCTATAAATAGCCCCCATTTTCCTTCACTTAAATCATCCCTTCTTCCATATACTTAAGCTCAGTTTAGAATAACATTTCTTTATATTTCTTTTAGCATGTTTAGTCTCCAAATGAGGAGTTAAACTTCCAATTCTTGGTTTTGCTCTTGAAGCTTGTTGATTATTAAAGTTGTGAGTCATTTTCTTACTTTCTCCTCTTGATTATTAATTCTTCCCTTAATCTCATTCTATATTAATGTTGGAGGGTGGCTAATTGACGATTAGTTAACGTTCCGACATTGATTATTACTAGAAACGATCAACGAATCGATGGTTAAACGTTGATGGTTTCACAAGTAACTAACTTCGGTTTATTAATGCACGGTCGTGGTTAATAAACTTAAGAGGGATTAATTTTGTTGGTTAAACCGAAACCGTTGTGTTGAGGTTATCAATCTTAATTGATTTCATCTAGGAGTTAAAGAGGTTAAATGCTACTATTATATCGGTATACGGCGTTGTTCTATATTTGATTAATAGTAAGGGTTATTAATGAACGGTCGTTGTTAATAACTACCCTCGATGAATTGGAGATACTCCGCGATTGAGTATTCGAGAGGGGATAAGTTATAGATATAACAATGATCGACTAAAATATATCAATAAGTGGAAAGTAGCAAGACCAATTCCCTTTTATTCTTGAATTTAATCCCATATAACTCGTTCATCTTCGTGTTTAATTTAATTAAATCACTCAACAATCAAAAACCCCCTTTATTTACTATTTATATAATTAAAAATAAAGTTATTCCTTTCCCTGTGGATACGAACTCTACTTCACCTATACTACGTATAAGTGTTAGTATTGAATTTATTTTGAGTACACTCACGACAAAGTGCACGTCAAATTTGGCGCCGTTGCCGGGGAGAGGCAATTGATTTTTCTTTTTATTTCATTTTAAGAAAAAGAAAAAAAAAATAGTTTCAAGTATAAAGGTTTCTATTTCTTCTGAGCTTTGTAGTATATGGTAATGTATCGTTCACTGAACGAAATCACCTACAAATCAAACCCCGAAATAGAACAAACTCTCGAGCGGTTAAAAAATAAATTCTCAAGCTCCGACTCGGGAGAATCATCAAGTGTCAGTTCCCATTCGAGCGACACCGAAGAGCCAACCACTATGGCTAATGAAACAAGAACGTTGAGGGAGCTCACGGCTCCGAATCTTAATCAGCAACCCCTATGTATCACTTTTCCAACTCTTGATACGGGGGTCACATTCGAGATAAAATCTGGGCTCATTCATCTACTCCCATCATTTCATGGCCTACGAGGGGAAGATCCGAACAAACACTTGTCGGAATTCCATATTGTGTGCACGAGCATGTGCCCCAATGGTGTATTCGAGGAGCAAATAAAGCTACGGGCTTTCCCATTCTCTTTAAAAGACACCGCAAAGGATTGGCTTTTCTACCTTCCTTCGGGTAGCATCAACACATGGGCTCAAATGAAAAAGAGCTTCCTCGACAGGTATTATCCCGCATCTATCTCTTCAAGCCTCAAAAAGCAAATCAGCAACATTGAGCAGGCAGATGATGAAACCTTGTACGAATATTGGGAGCGCTTTAAAAAATTATGCGCTAGTTGCCCATATCATGGATATTCGGAACAAGATCTCATCCTCTACTTCTATGATGGGCTTGTTGATCAAGATAGACGCATGGTAAATGCGGCATGCGGAGGGGGTATTGTTAACAAAACCCCTTCTCAAGCAAGAGACCTCATTTCGGAGTTAGCCGAAAACTCGAGACACTACAATGGGAGGTCATCTTCAAAACGAGTTATGGCGGTAGAATCCAACAACTCGTTGGAAAGTCAAGTGAACGGCTTGACAATTCAAGTGACCGACTTGACTTCTTTGGTAAAAGATTTTCTTTTGAATCCCAAAACCCAAGAAGTCAAGGTCTACGGTATATGCTCGACACAAGGGCACCCCACCGACTCCTGCCCAACATTACAAGAGGAGAACCCCGAGCAAGTCAATGCTTTGGGTTTCCAAGGTCAAAGAAGATATGATCCTCACGGCAACACTTACAATCCGGGGTGGAGGGATCATCCAAATTTAAGGTACGGAAACTCTCAACCTCCTCAACAATCAAACCCTCCTCCTCAACAATACAAACAACAAGGTCAAACATCGAACTCGAGCATGTCCACCGAAGACATGATTCGATCACTTGCCATGAACATGGCTACGATGCAACAAAGTGTGACCCAATTCCAAGAAACGACCAAATCAAGCATCCACAATTTGGAAAACCAAATGAGCCAAATCTCAAATGCCGTGAGTAGGCTTGAAGCTAAGGATTCGGCAAAACTCCCATCTCAAACGGAGCCGAATCCAAGGCAACAAGCTCACGCGGTCACTTTGAGAAGTGGCAAGGAGTTGGTTATGGCTAAAGCAAAAGCAAAGAGCCATGTTGGAGAAGAAGAGGAGTATATCTTGGTGTTCCTAGGTTTGCAAAGTTTTTAAAAGAGCTTTGCACAATAAAAAGGAAACACAAATTGAATGGCAAACATAAAATCCAAGTAAGCGAAAGAGTGTCAGCCGTTTTTCAAAAGAAACTGCCTAAAAAGTATAGTGACCCGGGAATGTTCACTATACCATGTAAACTTGGAAATTCTAGTTCTTCTAGGTCTATGTTAGATTTGGGTGCATCAATCAATGTCATTCCATATTCTCTATATAAGTCCCTAGAGCTAGGCCCTTTACATGAGACGGGGGTTGTTATCCAACTTGCCGATAGATCCAACGCTTACCCCAAAGGTGTAGTGGAGGATGTACTCGTCATGGTGGATAATCTAATCTTTCCCGCTGATTTTTATGTTCTCGAAATGGAGAACGATAAAAATGCAGTCCCAATTTTGTTAGGAAGACCCTTTTTAAAAACGGCCAAAGCAAAAATAGATGTTTTTAATGGAGTATTAACTATGGAGTTCGATGGTGAAAAAGTTGAATTTAATATCTACGACTCCATGAAATACCCCACAGATAATCACTCTCTTTTTGCAATTGACACTTGCGACACTTGGGTCCAAGATGTATTTGAGGTTGAGGGGAAAGACATGTTACTAAGCTCAATTGAAAACGACATAGAGGACTTCACTATGGAATACTCTATGTCAAACAACATGAAGATGATGGTGGCGGAGTTAAATCAACTCCCACTTTTGCCACCGGGCTCTAAAGCCCTCCCACTAACCATTCCGAGCGAGAGGCCGCTACCATCTGTTTTGCAGGCACCGGAGGTGGAATTGAAACCACTCCCTGAAAATTTGAAACATGTGTTCTTGGGCGAAAATCACACTCTACCGGTGATTATCTCAAATGCCTTGGCCCAAGAACAAGAGGAGAGGTTGATTGCGGTCCTCAAGGAGTACAAATTGGCCATTGGATGGTCTATTGCCGACATCAAAGGCATTAGCCCATCCACATGCATGCACCGGATCTTACTCGAAGATGAGGCCAAAGCGGTGAGGCAACCGCAAAGAAGATTGAACCCACCCATGATGGAGGTGGTGAAAAAAGAGGTGATTAAGTTGCTTCAAATGGGAATCATCTTTCCCATTTCCGATAGCAAATGGGTGAGTCCAACCCAAGTGGTGCCAAAGAAGACCGGAGTGACGGTCATTGAAAACAAAGATGGCGAAATGGTGCCCACCCGAGTGCAAAACGGGTGGCGAGTTTGCATTGATTACCGAAGGCTCAATTCGGTAACTAGAAAAGACTTCTTTCCATTGCCTTTCATTGATCAAATGCTAGAGAGGCTAGCGGGGCACAAGTTCTATTGTTTTCTTGACGGTTACTCCGGGTATTTCCAAATACCAATAGCCCCGGAGGACCAAGAGAAAACAACCTTCACATGTCCATTTGGCACTTTTGCCTACCGACGAATGCCCTTTGGATTATGCAACGCACCGGGCACCTTTCAAAGGTGTATGATGAGCATCTTCTCCGAATTTGTGGAAGTATTCATGGAGGTCTTTATGGATGATTTCACAATTCATGGGGACTCTTTTGACACTTGCCTCTATCATCTCACTCTTGTGCTCAGAAGTTGTATTGAATCCAACCTTGTTCTAAATTCTGAAAAATGCCACTTTATGGTGGAACAAGGGATTGTTCTTGGGCATGTGATCTCCTCAAAGGGCATTGAAGTGGACAAGGCAAAAATTGATGTCATCCAAACACTCCCGTACCCAACAAATGTACGGGACATCCGCTCCTTCCTTGGTCACGCCGGTTTCTATAGGAGATTCATCAAAGACTTCTCAAAAATTTCATCTCCTCTATGCAAACTTTTGCAAAAGGAGGTTGAATTTGATCTCAATGATGAATGCAAAGAGGCCTTTGACACTTAGAAAGCAAGATTGGTGACTGCCCCAATCATACAAGCTCCCGATTGGTCTCTTCCTTTTGAGATCATGTGCGACGCAAGTGACTATGCGGTGGGGGCTGTTCTAGGCCAAAAGAACAGGAGGGCTGCTCATGTCATCTACTATGCCTCATCAACCCTCAATGAAGCTCAAAAGAACTACTCCACCACCGAGAAGGAAATGCTAGCGGTGGTCTTTGCTTTGGAGAAGTTTCGTTCCTACCTTCTTGGAACGAAAGTTATTGTTTACATCGACCACGCCGCTCTCAGATTCCTTATGACAAAGAAGGAAGCCAAACCAAGACTCATTCGATGGGTCCTTCTATTGAGTGAGTTTGACATAGAAATCAAAGACAAGAAAGGAGCGGAGAACTTGGTGGCCGATCATTTAAGCCGCTTGGTTCCAAACAAAGAAATCGAAAGTCTCCATACCAATCTCATAAAAGGCGAATTTCCGGACGAGACTCTCTTCTCCATCAAAGTCATACAACCATGGTACGCAAACATTGTAAACTTCCTTGTTTCCGGCAAATTTCCTCCACAATTCTCAAAATCTCAAAAAGAAAAATTAAAAATGGACTCAAGACTCTATGTATGGGATGACCCATATTTGTGGAAACATTGCAAGGATCAAATAATCCGAAGATGCATCCCCGAATATGAGATAGCCCACATAATAGAGTTTTGCCATTCTTACGCTTGTGGAGGACATTTCGGGCCGAAACGAACAACAATGAAGATACTTGAAAGCGGATTCTGGTGGCCGAGTCTATTCCGGGATGCACATGTCTTTTGTCAATCTTGTGACAATTGTCAAAGAGCGGGCAACATTTCAAGGAGAAACGAGATGCCACAAAACCCCATGCTTTTCTGTGAGATTTTCGATGCATGGGGTATTGACTTCATGGGACCTTTCCCAAACTCTCAAGGTAACATCTACATCCTTCTTGCGGCAGATTACGTCTCCAAATGGGTGGAGGCAAAGGCAACAAAGACTGATGATGCCAAGGTGGTGGCTAGTTTCCTCAAAACACACATATTTTCAAGGTTCGGGGTCCCTCGAATTTTAATAAGCGATCGAGGCACACATTTTTGTAATAAAATTGTGGGATCCCTACTAAAGAAATATGGTGTGACTCACAAGATCTCCACTGCTTACCACCCTCAAACCAATGGCCAAGCGGAAACCTCAAATAGGGAGTTGAAGTCTATACTCCAGAAAACAGTGAACCCAAATCGGAAGGATTGGAGTATACGCATTGATGATGCACTATGGGCATACCGAACCGCCTACAAAACTCCAATCGGTATGTCCCCTTATAGACTTGTGTTTGGGAAATCTTGTCATCTTCCCGTAGAGCTTGAACACAAGTCGTATTAGGCGGTAAAAGAATTCAACCTCAATCTTGACGAGGCCGGTTTGCATAGGAAACTCCAATTGCAAGAATTGGAAGAACTCTGTTTGGATTCTTATGACAACGCGGAGATCTACAAAAGAAAGACGAAGGCTTGGCATGATAAGAAGATCATAAGGAAGAACTTTAAACTTGATGACAAAGTCCTCCTTTTTCAATCACGCCTTCGTCTATTTCCGGGAAAGCTGAGATCTCGTTGGACGGGACCATACAAAGTGGTCAAAATATATCCACACGGGGCGGTGGAGATTAAAGACCTGGAGACGGGAGAGGTGCTCAAGGTGAATGGACAAAGATTAAAACCCTTCTTTGAGGGTTTTCAACCCAAAAATGTGGAAGTCATGGACCTTTCTGAACCGGTCTATGAGTGAAGAACAACGAAGATATCGTCGAGCCACGACGTTAAATAAAGCGCTTCTTGGGAGGCAACCCATGCAAGGTATGTTCACTTTAATTAAATTTTGTAGAGTGTGTGTGTTCAAAAAAAAAATTACTGAACAACCCGACCGGGTATTTTAACTCACCCGGTCGGGTATTTAAACCAGAGGCGTCTGTTTTAAAAAGTTCGGGTTACCCGACCGGGTAAATCACCCTACCCGACCGGGTAAACACCCGGAAATCATTCTGCCAGCCTCTGGAAAGAAACCCCGCCCGGGTAACCTACCTCACCCGACCGGGTAGACGGGCTTTTCAGCCTATACCAGGTCGGGCAAACCCCCTTCTCTCCACTTCATCTTCCCCAATTTTCGAACACCCCTACCCCAAAACCTCCATTTTCATAGCTCCAAAGCTCCAAACCAACCCATTTCTCCATCAAATCCATCAATTAACATCATATTCTTCATCTCCTCACCTTCCTCTTCCATCCTACACCCATTAATCCTCCCCAAATCTCCCAAATCAACAAACCCAAAAACCCTTACCCCCAATTTCGAACCCCTCCATTTTTAGACTTCAAAGGTCCAAATACAAGCCAAAAATCACCACCAAACATCAAATACTTCTTCTCCTAATCATCCTCCACAAAACCACACCCATCAATCCCACCAAATCCTACCCATCCCAAAAAAAAAACGAAAATCCCTCACCAAAAATCAAGCACCATGGCACCAAAAAGGGGAAAACCTTCTTCCTCAAGAAATCCAAGGGCTATTCCACCGGTCGACGGCTTCGAGGAGGTGGACTTAGCATCCGAGGCACAACACATCCGCTTTCTCGAACAATCCGAAAGAGAGGTAAAACACTCCCGATTTATGTGCCAATTGACCTTGACTTTCTTTTGGATTGATGATATTATGAGGAACATATTCACAAGGTGTGGCATGCTGAAAATTTTTGATATGCATTATTGGCCATATTCTCGTTTAGTGTACGAGTTCTACAGTTCCGTTGAGCATGTGAAAGATGAAAATGATCACACCAATAACACGATCAACTTTTGAATGCTCAACGAGAACCGTTCACTCACTAAAAGAGAATTTGCTGAACACTTCGGCCTACCCTTGCTTGATGAAACTGTCGCGTATAGTACACCGGTAGCACATGAACTATGGAGAAGAATGACCGGAGTTGTCAATGTTCGTACTTCCCACCTCAATGTCAACCACATCCAACACCCGGTCTTCCGAATTTTCTTCAAATTCTTGGCAAATTGTTTTTTCGGGAGACCAAACAACCATCAAACTAGAGTGTGTGATGTGTGCCTCTTAGCACAAGCTGTTCTTCCGGGCGCTAGCCCGTACGATGTCACCACAGTGCTTTGGGATCACATTATCAATGTTAAAAATGGTGGAGGACCAATTCTGATAGGGGGTCTAATTACCCACATCTCAACGCTATATGGTTTTCAATGCAATGGTGCACAAAACAAAAGAACCCTTCTTGGCCTTAAGTTTCTAAAGAATGCTGGGGATATGACCCTATCACACATAGAACACGATGGTCTGGAGATTTATCATTGGCGCATCAAACCCGGCCAAGAACTATACCACCCATTCCCTTCCGATAATCTCCCACTTAACATCCTTGATCACCAAATTGGTGATGGACACCATTATTGTCTGCCCGGGGGGATCCCAGCTCATTATGCACCCCCAGACAATGAACAGGAGAATAATGAAGACAACAACGCCGCCAGCGAGCAAGCAATTGAGCCACCACCCCTCATTCCTGAACAACCACAACCACAACCTCATGCTCACCAATATTCACCATTTGAGCAAGAAATGCTAAATAACATGAATGCTCTAAACCTCAACTACACTCAACTTCGGGGGGAAGTTGTTTTGTATAGAACTGAGCAAAGGCAGAACTATGAACGATTCGAGGAGCAAAGGCAAGCGGATTGGCGGCGATACGAAGAGGATCGGCGGAGAGATCACGAGGACCACAGAAGGACTTTTGGCCCTATCTACTCCTACGTAGCACATCAAGGTGACTTTGCCGCTATGACTACTCCTCCTCCGGCACCCTCATGGTATAACCCCACTGAATGGGGTTATTTTGGCGGTTTGAGCTCTGGTGGTAGAGGCGGGGACGACGGATACGATGGTGATCATATGGATGAGGATGCACACTTTGGGAGCTACTATGGCCAGGGTGGATTCTTTGATGGAGGAGATGCAGGAGGGCACTAGAGACAGTGCCATGAACTAGCTGGGGGGGAGAACTATTCCGGTATGCTCCCATTTCATGCTCTTCATTATTTTCTTAAAAAAAAAGTTAAGCTTGTTAGGTTGAAAAACCCAAAAGGGCAACTTAAGCAAAATAAAAGCAAAAAGAAGAGTGAGTTGGTGAGAACAAAAAGGAAAAGGTGGGAAGCTGGGATGAAAACCCGAAAGGGCACCTAGGCAAAACGAGAGAATGAGAGAAAGTATTTTCTTTTATCTTTGCAGGATCCTAAAGGCACATACGTGAGGAAGCAAAAGAAGAAAAATCCAATGGTGTTGAAGACCTTTTTATTATGTGTTTTGATCATTGAAACATTTTTTATGTTGACCTTCAAAAACACTTGTGAATGGTTGTGATTGCTACTATGGTTTTTTTGGAAACTTCATGGACATGATTTGTTTCACTCGAGACGAGTAAAAGTTCAAGCGCAGGGGTGTTTGATATGCACTAATTAGTAGTGCATAAGTTTATGTTTTTATGATTGATCTGTGTGGATTGTTTATCATTTTATTTAGTTTGTAAACATTTGTGTGATTTTAGTTGTATTTGTATTTTAATTCTCATTTGTAAGTTGTAAAGTAGAGTTAGGATTTATGGTGTTGGAAAGAAAGACTTTGAAGTGAGGAAAAAGAAGATTGGACGTTCCAGGAGCTGAAACCCGACCGGGTATCAAACTCCACCCGGTCGGGTACATTTTAACAGGCGAAGGTAGCTGGAAATTACACAGACCCGGTCGGGTCCCTTACTTGACCCGGTCGGGTCAGACTTGACCCGGGACACCAGAACGTGCCGAAGATCGCCAGGACATGGAAAATATTTGATTTTGACCAAACCCGGTCGGGTCAACTAGGGTGGTCGGGTCAGACACGACCCGGTACCAAACTACGTGCAGAAACATGAGAACATGGCGAAATATTTGATTTTGACGTTGACCCGGTCGGGTATGTCCATTTACCCGGGCGGGTCAATGCCCCAGGGTGTTGAAAACACCTATAAATAGCCCCCATTTTCCTTCACTTAAATCATCCCTTCTTCCATATACTTAAGCTCAGTTTAGAATAGCATTTCTTTATATTTCTTTTAGCATGTTTAGTCTCCAAATGAGGAGCTAAACTTCCAATTCTTGGTTTTGCTCTTGAAGCTTGTTGATTATTAAAGTTGTGAGTTATTTTCTTACTTTCTCCTCTTGATTATTAATTCTTCCCTTTATCTCATTCTATATTAATGTTGGAGGGTGGCTAATTGACGATTAGTTAACGTTCCGACATTGATTATTACTAGAAACGATCAACGAACCGATGGTTAAACGTTGATGGTTTCACAAGTAAGTAACTTCGGTTTATTAATGCACGGTCGTGGTTAATAAACTTAAGAGGGATTAATTTTGTTGGTTAAACCGAAACCGTTGTGTTGAGGTTATCAATCTTAATTGATTTCATCTAGGAGTTAAAGAGGTTAAATGCTACTATTATATCGGTATACGGCGTTGTTCTATATTTGATTAATAGTAAGGGTTATTAATGAACGGTCGTTGTTAATAACTACCCTCGATGAATTGGAGATACTCCGCGATTGAGTATTCGAGAGGGGATAAGTTATAGATATAACAATGATCGACTAAAATATATCAATAAGTGGAAAGTAACAAGACCAAGTCCCTTTTATTCTTGAATTTAATCCCATATAACTCGTTCATCTTCGTGTTTAATTTAATTAAATCACTCAACAATCAAAACCCCCCTTTATTTACTATTTATATAAAAAGAAAGTTATTCATTTCCCTGTGGATACGAACTCTACTTCACATATACTACGTATAAGTGTTAGTATTGAATTTATTTTGAGTGCACTCACGACAAAGTGCACGTCACTCACGCTGGGATCGGAGTGGAAGGAAGCTAGAATGTATCCTATGAAATGAGAAATTGGTACAAGAATAGGCTGAGAATAGGTGTAATATATATAAAAAATGTTATATCCGTTTCATATATTCTAGTTGTGTGAATGACTATTAGTTTGGATTACTGTCATTGATATTTTGAGTAGAGATTTTTATTGTAGAACTTGTTAAAGTAGAGATTATTAGTGTGAATTTCACCTTCACTTTTTGTGGTGGTAGCAAAATAAATGTCATAGTAGAGAGGTCTCGAGTTTAACTCCAAGTAATGACTTTAGATCAAAGCTCAATTTACATCCTTCCAGATAACTGTATGATCGCTTCTAGAGTTTCTCACGGATGGGGTGTTGTTCTTTTTTGGTTTCATTTTTAGTGTATCTTATAAATGTCTTTCTTTTGCGGCACGAAATATTAGTTTATATCATTTCACCTTATTCTACTCAAATCTGAATCATAAATTTTACTTTTCAACCACGTTATTGATAATTGTGTCAAACTAAAATAAGACATTCAATCTATGTTTGAAAAACTGACCCGGCCCAACCATATCGACCCGGAACCCGACGACCCGGACCGAAACCCGGTTCGGTTAACTAAAACCTAGAAATGGTAAATGTCACGCCCAGACCGCGATCCAAGCGCGTGTACAACCGCCGTATAACTAAGTGACGTCACCCACGAGTCAACCTCACTTAATTACACAAGGCGTTCGAGAAAACAATCCATCCATACTCAGTAGCAAACATACATAACAACATCACATTTAAACCAATGAATAGCGGAAATATTCAACGGTAGGTCATGAGCCACAACCGGCCAACAACATGGGCATGCAAGCCCCAAAAATAGTTTATAGTAAAACAAATATCCATTAGCAAGTGTTCGGTAGTTTGAAAGAAAATAAGGAAGCACGAACCACGTCTTCCTGGTGTGATATCACCCGTGAGAAGGTGCAAGTAGCAAGCTCTAGCTTCAACCTGAAAATGGTGCCCCCCCCGAAGGGGTCAGTACAAGTACCGAGCGAGTAGCAGGCTAAATATAGAATAACTAGCGTTTCAAGTATAAGACCCAAACATAGGGTGATACTTAAATAAATAGTCTTTCCCCCAAGTTATGAAATACTTATTAGTATATATATACTTGGAAAATATCCGATCCGTAGATCACCATTTTATTTGGGAAAAATAGTAATAGTCAATATTCTTGACTAAAAACCCCAACCCACCCATATACCTATGAGTGTATAGGACTCCTCCTTGTCCCTATTTGTATATCATAATCTATGAGTTTTAGGATCATAATCCTTGGATACTCCACCGGTTTGTGAGTGTTAAGGACTCATAAGTCCTAGGGTCCTCCACCAAGTTTTGAGTGTTAAGTACTTTTAAGTACTAGGGTCCTCCACCAAGTTTGAGTGTTAAGGACTTTAAGTCCTAGGGTCCTCCACCAAGTTTTGAGTGTTAAGTACTTTTAAGTACTAGGGTCCTCCACCAAGTTTGAGTGTTAAGTACTTTTTAAGTACTAGGGTCCTCCACCAAGTTTGAGTGTTAAGTACTTTTTAAGTACTAGGGTCCTCCACCAAGTTTTTGAGTGTTAAGTACTTTTTAAGTACTAGGGTCCTCCACCAAGTTTTTCTATGATCAACCTCCTATCAACCTAGATAGAGTCTACATCATACTTAGTTACTCATAACTAATCCAATACATAAATCTTATGTATCACAATCCATGCAAAACCATGCATTTATGTAGATTTATAATTAATTAATACCAACCGGTATTAATTTAAATCCTTTGTCCGTCGGTCCACGTTTTCGTTGACCGCCATTTCATGCCTTGTGTGTATCAACTTAATCATCATATAATTAAGTTAATAATATTCATTTGTGCTTCTAATACACTTCAAACAAATATGCATTTCATATAATTCTTCATATCATATTCCATGCATCAACAATTAATTTCTTCATACAAACTTAACCCTATTGGCTAATCACATGTTTAAATATCTTTTAACATCATTATGAACTCATATAACATTTATTTAGGTAATCTCATAATTAACCCAAAAGTTATAAGATATTAAGCCGTCCACTCACCTTGAACTAGCGTTATGAAGTTCTACCCTTCTTGGTTGAACTCCGGTGAAACTCCGGCGACAAATCCGGCGACTTTTCCAACTTTGTGAAATCACTCGAAATACCCTTCACAAGTGCCTAACAAGGTTTTATAATCATAAAACCCATATTAATACAAATAACCTCAAAAAGGTTATTTTCTGGTGAACCGGTCGTTTTGGCTTCTAAGTCCGTTCTTGGACTTAGAACCATCTTCCAACCCATACACTTAAATCATGTATAACAACCCTAAGGGTTCTTCATATGATATATATATCCTATGATGGAAGAAAATTAAAGGAAAAGTTATGATAAGGTTATTACCTTTATTTTCACACTTTTTCCTAGCTTTTTTCCTTCTTTAAACTCCCTCTTCTTCCTTGTTTGAGTTTGAGCTCGTGTTCATCTATGGAAAGTGGAGTTGCAGAGCTTCCTCTCTCTTTTCCTTTGGGTCTTGGCCGAGTGTGATAGGGGTGGGTGAGTGAGGGGATATCCTCTTTAGCTTTTCTCTCAAAATAATGTGGGAATGGGTCCTCCCTATTGTACCTTTGATGCCAAATGCATCTCCTCCCCATTTCCTTTTGTCAACCCAGCCCCCTTTGTCCAACTTAGCACAAAAAAATGTGGGGTGGCCCCCCACTTGTGTGGGAGGTCATCCCTTTGTGTCCCGATGTGTACAATCGGTCCTGAAAGTTGTATTTTTTCGGACTGTTTTAATTATATTTTATTTTATCGGGTCAAATAAAATATATTGTGTGCTCTCAATCATAATTCCCCTTTGGAATAATATTTGTTCCAAAACTTTAATTTGGAAGTCTTCGTACTTCATTTCCGGGCTGATATCTGTTAAATTGTCGGTACCGGTATTTGGGCCTCTTTTGCCCAATCGGTCAACTCTGGGCCTTTTCACGACTCAAATAAAATGTCCACCACCATATAAATATTATTTCGACCCATAAGAATAATTTATGTGATCTCGGGAATATCGGGCGGCCCCCGCTCCCGGTGTGGGTCCCACGTGCAATTTACTATTCACGCGAAAGAAATAATAAAAATTTACAATTTCGTAAATTCATTAATCCTTTAATAAGGTTCAATACATTATTTACATAAAAGTAAATATATTTGGGGACGGTGTTACAGTAAAAACCCAGAAAACTTCGACCGACCCAGTAAAACCCGGTCTGAACCCGAACCCGAAAATACCCGGTTTTGGTTGTTTTCCATTTTCTTAAATTTTAAATCATTTTTAACCAATAAAATTGCAATTTCAATACCCTAAAAGGAAAAAAATACTACTTATTTGTTTAAGAATAAATATCATGTCAAATTATATAATAAATGTCCAATAAAAAATATGGAATATCATTATATATATATATATATATGTATTGTTAGTACCCAATTTTGATAAGATTTTGATGATGCCACTATACTAAAAGTCATTATGCCCTGTGTTCTTACTAAATTAAAAATTGATCAGGTTCTCAAACTGTGACTAATTAAAATGTACAATTTTTGTACTAAATAAATTTTTACTGGAAAATTAAAATGCAATAAGGTAAACTTTTACCTTAAAAGGATATTCGGATCCCACCAGTATAAATTTATTTAGTACATAAAATTATCAAGTCACATAATCAGCTGATCAAGAAATGACAAAATAAATTCTGTACCAAATAAATTTTACTGGAAACCAAAAATTACAATAAGGTAAAATTTGTTTAACTTAGAAGGAGACTTTGATCCTACCAGTACAAATTCATTTGGTACATAATATAATAGAACACGGCACAAACACACACACATACATTGCATGTGTATGATTGAAGACAAAGACAAGAAGAGCATTAAATGCTCAACAGTACGAAAACCAAAGAAGATGGGTCGCACACACCAAATCGAGAAGATTGATCCTTGACTTGATCTTCTAGCTACTAATCAGTGAAGACAAAGGAAATTTCCATTATCAGCTCCATCACAAGAGAACAAAAGTACACCTCATTCTGCGAATAGGATTGAATCCTCTCAACCAACGGAGGAGATCAACCTACTGGAGAAGCCTATAAAAGAAGGCATAGGCATGAGTTCTAAAACCAAGTTTTTGAGTCTTCAATGCAGAGTAATCACTCTAAGTAT